TCACTGTAGGTTAAGTCATGATGGAAATTTCACTACTTGATTTAATCAAAGAAGTTATGAACCACATCTTGGTGCATCCTTATGTTTAGTATTTTAATCAATTCTTGAATTAAGGTCAAGTGCTTAGTTTTATCATTCATTTGAAAATTAGATAAATGAACTCACCTAGGGTGTGCTTATAAAATTTAGGAAGCCTACACTTTAACTTGAGATTGAAGTGATTTAAGGTGTTTTACCCTCAATGAAATATTTTCCAACTAATCCTCACATATCTTTTAAGTGTTTTTCAAATAATTAAATAAGAAATTCTCTTTTTTAACTTAACTATTGGTAAGGAAAAAAATAACAAAAAAAAATCAACGGAGAAGGAGGCCGACGCACTTCTAAAAAAAATCAGCTAAGCAAGGGGCAAAACCGCAAGTGAATCGGCCTAAAAATATTTATATTTTTTTCAAAATGATGATCAAATCAGTCCCAAAAGGTGTGCAAAAGCCTTAAAAAATCAGCACTTAAAGTGCCCAAATCGATATATAAAAGCCTCGAAAAATTAGCACTTATAGTGCTCAAATCAATGTATAAAAGCCTCAAAAAATCAGCACTTAAAGTGCCCAAGTCGATATATGAAAGCCTCCCTCAATCTTTTCAAATTGACACAGACATAGAGCAGAAAACAACCATTAAAATTTCGGTGGTATATATGTAATACATATGAGGAGTAGATGGTAATTATGTAAATATAAAAGCCTATGTTTCATATGCACTTATTTAAGAATTGGGTGACATGAATATAAAATTTGAAATACGCCGGCACTGGATCCAAAACAAATCATAAAGTTCATATGATATTATTTGGCACAAGACTGTGATTTAGAAATATATCAACCGAGCCTCGAATTTTCACCATTTTTTTTCACCGCCGGGTTGTCCTCTCTGCTAATCCCAAACACTAGAAAATGCTAGAACTTCACGTAGGGCATACAGTCAAGAACTACAATCAAATAATTTAATCCTTATGAATATCAGGCTCTCTCAATATTTGTTCAAAAGTCCAAGACTTGCTGCAATTTATAAAAAGACATCTAAAGCTGAACATAAACCCAAATCAAGCTAAGACTCAAGTAGCAAATCAAACCCAAAGTACAGTTGATAGATTGCATACCTTAAAAGCAAGCAGCGATATAGGAATTGCAAATCAGAAAAAACATATTAAACCCATGGCATGAAAGTAGAATAAAACAGATAATTCCATAAGAATAAGAAAAACACTTCTTACTGCATGATATACTTTACAAGTAAACCGAAGAAGAATGTAAAACAATGAGATTATTACCTTCAAATGCTTAAAGAAAGGAGGAAGAGGGTTACCTCTTTGATGCAGATCCAAAACAAACTCAAGAACATGCCTAGCCTAAGAAAAATTTCAGCAGCACTTCCCCTCTCCTAAAAATTTCTTCCAACCTCTAAACCATCCCCCAAGTGGAGTTTTTATAGCCAAAGAAAGGAGGAGAAACATCCCTGGCACTTCCCCTCTCCTAAAAATTTCGTCCAACCTCTAAACCATCCCCCAAGTGGAGTTTTTATAGCCAAGGAAAGGAGGAGAAACATCCCTGAACTCACCTGGGGGGTGAGCCAAGACTGAGGAGGACGGAAGAAGCGACAACAATCAAAGAGGCGTGGGAGATGCGAGTAGAAAGCTGAAGCGCGACAGGGAGTGGGTGGAAGTCTTACAAGAGCACGGGGGAGAGGACCTCGATCCGATCCTTCGAGAGAAAAAGAGGGTCGCTCGGTCGGGTTTCGCGAACGGGAAGGGGGACGGTCTGCTCGATCAAGCTCGCGAGCGCGAAAGAGAGGGGGCGAGAGGCGTGAGCGAGGTTAGGGATTTAGAGATTTGATAAAATGAAATTTCTTTTTTTTTAACATCTAATATTAAAATTTCGCAATTCGCGCACTAATCGCTTGTGCATAGAACTATATCAAAATAGATGTACTTCCTAAGTGAATTCGACGTTCCAAACACGTGGGCGTAATTCGTTTCGTCAGTCGGGTTGAAAACGCTTCAAATTCAATTTTCTTTAAAATTTCGAGTTTGCGATCGATCGTGTCAAAATTTTATTTAAGTTTCGATTAATTATGCAACACATAAAGACATAGGTGGCGTTAATTGCAATAATTAAACGTGTCGACTGTCTGAATTGTGAAGTTTATGCGCGCGAATGTGCAAATTGTGCATAAGGTAATCTTAGGGCTTAATGGTCTTATAGGGACACCTTTTGAGTTTTCTCATGTCGGTTTTAACCTTCTAAATGCTAGAGGTTGAGAATCACACATGCAGAACTCCAAAAGGGTAAAGAGGTAGTTTGGATTTCAAAAATGAGGTGGGTCCCATTTCTAGGGTTCTAAGATAGTCAAAGGGAGAATCCTAAGGCTGGACTCTAGAAGAAAACTAGACTTCACTAAAAATGAGGTCAATAGCTGTAGCCTTAGGAGTTGCCGAGATGTTGTGGCTGAGAGCCTTGTTGTTCGAGCTCAAGATGGACCAAAGAACTCAAATGAAGTTGTACGAAAAGAAGTCAGCAACAAGCATTGCCAACAACCTAGAGAAACAACAACCTAGTGCAACACAATAGAACCAAACGTGTGTAGATTAATAGATTTTGCATCAAGGAAAAGTTGAATAATGAGCTATATGAGCCAAGTCATGTAGCCACTAGAGAGCAAGTGGCTGACTGCCTCACTACATGCCTCACTAAAGTGCTTAATTCATTAGATTTGTTTGGGTTATGTGAAAAGATGGGCTATTGAAGAAGTAACTTATTTAGAATTCTTTTGGAAAAAAAATGGAATATTGAAGTGGAAAAAAATGGAATATTGAAGAAGAGTAGGGGTTTATTTGTAATACCTTGTAATACCCTATTTAAGCCCACGTTATGAA